CTGGCGGCTCCTGGATCCATCACACACATTACATGTCACACACAAACACACAAAAACAAGGGGTGGAGAAGGAGGAGAAGGAGGAGGAGGAGGTGGAGAAGGAGGAGGAACGGGTGGAGAATGAGGAGGAGCAGGAGGATGAGGTGGAGAAGGAGGAGGAACGGGTGGAGGAGGGGGAGGCTTTAATGAAACAGGTTAAAACCAGCAGCACATCTCACAGTGAAAGAAGATCACAGAGACACACAGAGACACACAGGGACACACAGAGACACACACACACAGAGACACACAGAGACACACACACACAGACACACACACAGAGAGACACACAGAGACACACAGGGACACACAGAGACACACACAAAGGGACACACAGAGACACACAGAGACACGCAGGGACACACAGAGACACACACACACAGCAGGCTCTGGATCATGCCGTCCTCCACCTCCTCGGCTGGCGTCCTGCCGACAGGCGGCCGGATCTTCACCTCCATCCCCGACCTCTTCTTCATCCCAGAGTTTGTGAGTTTCTGCTCGTCTTCTCTTTATCTCGTTATTTCATTTCTCGTCCATCGGCTGAATGACGAGTCAGCAGCGAGCAGATGAGGGTCCGTTTCTGCCTCGTCATCATCATCATCATCATCATCATCAGTCTTGTGTTTGTGGCAGTTGGCTGTCGTGCTGACGGTTGGTCACAGGGGTCCAATGGCTGTTGAACACGTTGCCGTGGCAACGAGAAAACAACATCCAGAACCGGTTTTCGATCAAAGAGCAGATAGAACCTGATGTGAGAGGCGTGCGTCTCACAGAAGAACAACTAGCATCATTTGTTTGATCAGTTAACGGGTGAAAGTCGGTGTTGGTTTGTCAGCATCATATGAATTAGAAATTACAAACTTTACAATCTACCTTGAATGAGGTCTCACTTTAATTATTTCCTGACAAGAACATTTTATGTTGTTACAAATATATTAATATATTACATAAATATTCTAATCTCTAAACTACAACAACATATTTCAATGGTTTTGCAGTCTGAGAGACGTTTTATAATGAAGGAATGGACATTACACTAAGAGGAGCAGATATTCAATTAGATGTCAACGTGAAACATTCTTTGACTTTAGAGTTTAACAATAATTACTATTAGTTTAGGTTTTTTAATGCATGTTTTCATTCATTCATATTTTTAATAGCTCCACACATGACTTTATTTCCAAGTTTCCAAAGTAAAACACGTCCAACCTGCCTCTCGAGTATGAAAATGACTTTGTTTGTATGAACAAAGCTTCATTGAAAGGGAACGTTGGAAACGCACCTTAGCTTCCACTCATGTGGGCTCGCTGCATTGTGCTCATCGGGTGATCAATAGATCGGACCTTCATGTCCGTGTTGACTCAGCTGAGTGGAACCTGCTGAGAAAAGATCTCACTCTCAGACCAGGAATCCAGTCGTGGTTTCACAGAGTAAATATTCTCCTGTTGACCTATTCAAGGAGGAGCCTTTGGTCTGTTGGGTTATTGAATGTGGACCAGCAGACAAACCGTTTAAAGGTCCCGTATGTCCTCCATGAATAATGTCTCATAACCGTGGTTACCTCAGGAGGACGGGTTCTTCGGTCTGGTCCACGTCATGGACTTATATTAATATTGAAAGTTAGGCATAAGTGATTGATAGGTGCCAATCAAAGAGGCCACCTGTCTGCTCTGTGTACTTACACCTCTTGTTCTCGGAGAGAAAAACGACAACCAAGCACTGTTTTTGCTGTTTGACAATTTAAAACTCCAGAAAAGTTCCTCTGGTCCATAAATGCTTTCAGTGGAGCATTTAGCAGCTGGAGAGAAAGCTTTCCCCTCAGAGGTTGGAGGAGGAGACCAAAAACAGAGCAAAAAGGGACATGGTGGACTTTACAGTCATATTGTACCAGATGAAAGTTCACACAAAGCAACAACCTGGTTCATCGTTATTTAATCTAAAGGTAAAGTACTGCCTCAAGTAACTTATTGCTTTCATAATAACCAGCGAAATTATACATAATAAGTAAATAGCCGCCTTTATAGCACAAAATCGTTGTAGCCAGACATCGTGTATCACATTTTAGTAGCTCGGTACAGGGGCCATTTTTCACTAGAAACCGAGCTGAAAGCTGAACTGTTGCTGCTGAGCGGCCGTACAAGACGTAACCGTTACTTTGAACGCTCGGATCAATGTGAACAACTGGACATTAAGGCTGCATGATGCACCACGTGACTCACTCTCAACCAATCAGAACGCTGGATGTCCTCCACCCGTTTTCTAACATACATCATCCGTGTGACTCATCTCATGTCCACCTGTCCCCGTGTGACCCTGCAGGTGTGCGGGGGTCTGGTGTGGATGCTGGTGGCGTCCACTAGCGTCGCCCCGCCCAACCCTCTGGGCTGGGTGATGTTCGTGTCCGTCTTCTGCTTCGTGGTCACCACCGTCTGGTTCTTCATCTTCCTCTGCGGAGCCAATCAGGGCAGCGTCTGGCCCTCACTGGTTAGCCACGCCCACGTTTAGGTTGACCTGCGTTGTTCCCACGACCCTGATCTGCATTCCGAATGAGGCTTTGGAGAAAGTCTCGTGTTAGCAGCAGCGTGCTGATGTTGAGGCTCAACCTTTATGTTTAGATCAACTGACACTGTTGTCTTACTTCTAAATATCGACATATTTATCTAAATGTATATATATATATATATATATATATATATATATATATATATATACACATAGGACATATGAGTGAAAAACTTACATAAAGATCATTAGACCCTTTGTTTTATCTCACATAACATAGATGTGCAGATATCAGAGGACTCTCTGTTCAGCGTCACCATGGTTACAACATGGCACCTTTGTTGCTTCCTGCAGGATGTGGGGTTCCACTTCCTGGCGGAGGTGTTCTACCTCAGTGCGGCGGTGGAGCTGGCCTTCATCACCTTCATCCTGGGACAGATACCTTCAGGCTCGACTGAGGCTCTCAAGACCTACAGACTGGACGTCGCTGCAGTGGTAGGACACACACACACACACGCACACACACACACACACACACACACGCACACACACACACACACACACACACGCACACACACGCACACACA